TTTTTTTTGGCTACTTGAATGGCAGATTTGCAAGTACAATTTCATCTGCACGGAGGAACAATAGCTTTCAGTAGCACAAAGGACTTCTCCCACCCTGAACCAGACGCAATGCCTCTTGCTCTGGTAACAGCTTCTGAAAAGATTTTGCAACGCAGAGAATTAATACAGGATTATGTCCGCCTGACTTCGCTCATTTATTAGAATTCTGTGGCAAATTCCAAATTAAAAATAGTTCAGTTAACAGCTTTAAAAAATACTTTTAAAATACACCTCTCCCCCCAAATTTTTAAGTTTGGTTAGTTGTCCTGACCTAAAAACTGCTAAAAATTGTGATCAGCTTTAAAGTGATAGTTACTGTATTTTAGTAAATATATTTTGGTAAATTTAGAATGAAACTTCCAAATCATTCTAAAATGTTCCCCTGGCCAGCCAAAGACAAATTTCTTATACCAAGTCGGTAGTAGTGTCTAAAAGTAATTTCTGAATTTTATGTGGGAAGAGGCCTTTGTCATAATAGTAACTCTGGTCATCACAGTGAGTGCCCAGAGGAGTGGGAGGGGTATTTCCCGCATTTCATCTCAATTCTAGTAAAGGCCTTTGCTACCCTTAGGGGAAAAACAAAAAAAAGACAAACACAGGCTAGGTTGCAAATCAGATTCCTTAGAAGTAATACAGATGAACACATCAATAATAGTAGTTTAATATTAATAAAATTGAATGTTTGTGTCCATAAGGGGTTTTTTTAGTACAATGGTATTTTAAAATTGCAAGTCAGTGACTTAGATAACCGGTTGCTCTTTGTGAACTAGTTGCATTACACAGCCCTGGAAAAATACTAAATCTTGCAACCTGTCAACAAACATTTACCATAAAGTTGTGTAGCTGTCTCAGTTCTCACAACCCAGTCCAGTTATAGAAGGTTCCTTTTTTCTCTTTTCTTTTTTTTAAAGTTGGCACACTGGACAGCTTAAAAAAAAAAAGTTCTGAGGGCATTTTGCCATAAATGGCTTAGAAGACCATGTAACGAAGTCCCATGCACCACCGCTTAAAAGCACAGGTCAGACTGTTAAATCCGGGTGATGTCTTCAGACTGTAATTTCTTAAGACCTGTTCCACAAATTGTGTCTGTGCTCACATTCTTATTTTGAACCACAGCTTTTGCAACACTGTATATTCCAGATTTGATGAGCTGCAGGTGGGGGTGGTAGAGAGCAAGAAGTAAGCAATACTAATACTTCATCTCACTCTGAAGATGAGTCTCAACTGATAGAGTTGAGTGTCCCTGACCATTTCAAAACCAAACTGCTCAAGCCCTGGTAGGTGGCTCCCACCTCCCAGACGCAGCATCCCGCACCCTCTGTGACCTGCTCCTGAGGATTCATCTTTCTCCGCCCTCCTCCACTCCCTCTTCACTGCTCCAAACTTTCAGTGAAGGGAACTGCCACTGCACAGGAGGTGTTCTGCTTTTAAAAGAGGTCTGACTGTAAATGTCAAAGTCATAAATATTTAAACATCATTTTCTTTCAATTTCAAGTCAAGACTGATAAGATGCCTCTAATTAGTCTGGGCTCTCTTTGGAGATGGGGGGGGGAAAGGGCCAAGAAGGCACTTCTGGTCTACCACCACTCAACCTTGGGGAGCCAGAACTTGGAGAGGGGCCTACACCAGCCACACCTGCCTCAGTACCTTGGTGCAAACCCACTTTTAAGCCTCCGGCATACACTTCTCCCTGGCTAGCTCCCGGTTAGCAGGCGTTTTAGGTTTAACTCTACAAAAAGACAGTAAGTAAAGTCATTGAAAAGTTATTTAAATCATTATGCCCAGAGGGGCATTCAGCACTCATTAAAAAAATTTTTTTTATAACTTTCATTTCTCCTGGAATTCCTAAGGCCTGACAGTTTTTCCCCCCACAGACACTCCTGCCCAACGCTAGGCAGGGTATTTGAAACTATTGTGGGGGTGCAGGAACCCCCAGGAAGAGACTTTTCTTCCATTCCACTTGAGAGACCCTCAGCCAGTCTGGACGTTGGCTTCCCAGGCTGGCTCTGAGGTCTGAGACCTCAATGTCAGACTGGGTTGACTTGCAGTGGGGTCACTGTGTTGGTAACTGCCTTCCCCTCAGACAGACAGACTCCTCTTCACCTCAACCTTGACGCTGCCCACAGTCACCTCCGCCAGACTGTCCAGGCCCTGCCCAGCGATGCCTGCTGTTTCCACCTCGCCTACCCTTTTTTTCCCCTGGCTGCATCCTGGACAGCCACCTCTCCTATGGGGCAGCTCAGGCCCAGGCAGCGGGAACTGGGTGGCTCATCCCCACATGTCCCTCTTCTCCAGGAGCCCAGGACAGAGGGACCTTGAGCTCTTGAGGCAGCCTTTCTCCTTGACATTTTTCTTTGACCTTTGAGTAAATCCCAAGGCTCCATGAGGGACAGGAGGCCCTGCAGGGCACGCCAGCTTCAGACTGCAGCTCACTGTGCTTCCCTCCTCGGAAGAGCCGCCCTGGGGTCCTTACTGCACTGCAGGCCTTGGCCAGGTTCATGTATGGGCACCTCTACCTACAACTCCTTGGTGTTCACTGTCACTCGGTACAGGTGACAACTGGGCAGTGTTTGTGGCTTTACTTGGGGTGGGTGGCCTTCTGGCGCCCACAGCCCTGGTGAATCCCAGCTGCGTGAGGTGTGCGTGGGATCCCCGTCCGGTGCGCACTGATGCATCTGCCACATCCCGTGGCACTGCGGGTCCACTCAGAGCCAGTTAGTCACCGAGCAGTGTGCACCAGAAGGCTCAGGAAATCCCTGTCCCCAGGCTTAGTAGGCCACATGGACACGCAGATCCTCCCGACTCCTGGGTGGGACCTCGGCTCTGGGACAGCTTGTCGCCTCACTGGGGCGGGTTGAGATGCGCAGTGACCATAGGGTAGCCAGCTGCAGGGACAGGGTGGGAGTGGGTGGCGACCCTCTGCTTGCTGCTGCCTTTGTTATGGCCCTATTTTGTTTGCCAAGGGAGGGCGGGACAGGAGAGTGGCGCGGAACCGGGCACCCCTTGGCCAGCGCCCAGCAGACCTCTGGAAAACGTCCTCCCGCGTGGGGTACAGGCCGGGGTCTCCTATGTGCCCCCCACCACGTCGCCTCTGCGCCGCTCCCTTCACCCACCCGGGAGGGTACAAGGTGGGGGCCGGCGTCTCCACTATGCGGGAAGGACAACGTGGGGGCCATGGAGACCCCGCAGACCCTGGGCAGGGCGCGCCCCGCCCCGCCGGCCCCCGGCTCCCTCGCTCTCGCTCCCGCCAAGGCGCACTCCCCGTTTACTTGAGTGCTTTGGGCGCCTGCGCTGGGCAGGAAAGTGGAGTAGGGGGACAGGGACCTCCGACCGGGCTCCGCAGGGCGAGTGGACGGTTCTTCCAGTGGCGTGGGCCCAGCCGGAGAGTCGAGCGAGCGGAGGGGGAGGAGTGAGGCGCGGAGGGCAGGGGAGGGCAGGGGAGGGGGCTCGGCCGCCCTCTCCACGCGCTGGGCTCTGCGCGCCCGGCCCGCAGCAGCGCAATCCCTGCCACTCGCCACTCGCGGCTGGGCTCCGGGCCGCCGCCTCCCGGTCCTTGTCATCCTGGTTCTGTCCCTCGCTGTCCCCTCCCTTCTTGCTGGGCGTCCCCCACTCCACCATCCTCTGCGCTGTCTGCGAACCCCTCTGTCCTCGGAGCGGCAGGCAGGAAAATCCCGGCGTCTTTTCGCATTTAACCCGCGTCTCCATTAACTCAGTCCAGGCGCCGGCTAATCCGCGCACCGAAGGCAAAAGGAGGCTAATTAATGACCAGCTTTTCCAGTCAAGACGGCGATAATTGCTTTGGTGGCCTTTATGATTACAAGATAAAAATGGGCCCGGCCTGACATGAGAGGCACTGTGTATACTCGGAGACTGGAGGAGCTGTAGAGTTGGGAGGCTGAATGCGAGGCAGAAAATTACTAATAGAAGAGAGATAATGAATAGGCCGGCCAGGCATTCATGGGGAAAAATCCATTTTGTTACCACGCGAAATTAGGTGGTGGAAAGGAGCTTGCTAATTGTCCTCATCTTGTAGCAACCAGGACGGAGGCAGGGCGTGCTTTTCCATTCATTGCCCGAGTAATTGTGGGGGTTGCTGGCCGAGAGTTGTGGGCGCTTTGCCCGCGGCCCTTCCATTTTCCTGTGGCGGTTTTAATTGTTGCTAATACACCTCCTAATGAAGCTAATGAGGGGGACACGTTGGGCTATTTGCCTTGGAAATAGTGACATACACGGAAAGGATTTTCTCAGATTTTGTTCCCCCTTCCTCCTAGACAGTGAGAACCTGGAGGAGTTCGGAGGCCTTAACTTTCATCTCTGAGAAATGAACTTGCACGATCACCCTATTCTCAGCGTTCCTTTGAAGGAAGATTGCTTAGGTGCCAGGAATCTGTGCCCTGTTTTCCTGGGGACACCTCTGTCAGAGAGTAAAGCTGCTGGGACTAGACCCTGGAATGCCTTCCAAGGCCAGAGGCCATGGGAGGTCCGCAGACCCTGAATTACCAGGAGTGCTAGGAGAGGGTGATGGAAGCCAGCGCACACTGTGTGGGCTGAAGACCACTTGCCTCTGTTGAAATGTGACCACCACAGGCTCAGCCCTACCACACACACACACACACACACACACGCACGTTTTGTATGCTCTGGAGGAATCCTGTACCTGTTTAATAGAAGGTTGCGCACTTTGTTTAACTTAAGGCAGCATATTAGGTACATCATTAAATTTGAAACATGGCCACCACTGAGAAATAGAAAACACTGGTGGCTGCCACTTTTCCCTTGGCAGCATGCGGCCTGTGGGAGCTGTTGGCTTCCCCTTCTGGGGGTGCTCCCAGCACAGGGAGCCAGTGGCCACACTGTGTCTTGCAGTGCAAATAGCACATGAACAAGCTGATTTGCTAGGAGATTTGCTAGGAGGCCATGATTTGTTAAGTCCTCACCTTTTCTCTCTTCTTGTTCTGCAGAAAGGCAGACTCAAGCTTCTGCCCCACCAGAGAGAGCAGGAGGACTCCACCAAGTTCATTGCGCTCACCTTCCTCTGTGTGGCCTGCATCGTGGGGGTCCTTCTGGCTTCTGCCCTCATCTACTGCCTCCGCCACAGCTCCCACTACAAGCTGAAGGAGAAGCTGTCCGGCCTGGGGGGTGACCCAAACTCAGATGCCTCTGCAGCCTACCAGGTAAAAAGACTCTTCCACGTGTGCTGGGTTCATCAACTGAACAGACAGATTTTTTTGACTCATCTCTGGTCCCTCCCTCATTCCTAGCACTTGTTCATTTATTCATAGTTTGGTTCTTTTATGATGACAGTTTGAGACTTCTCATTAGCATGCATGTAAATACCTTGCAACCACAGTTTTTATGGCTCTATATTAATCTTTTGCTGTTCTTGGATAGTCTTCTGTTGGCTGTGAAAGTGGGTTGCTAATTAGAAATATGGAAAAAGTACAACACATGAATTATGTGTTATCTGTTATCTTAGTTTGCCCGCGATTAACGAAACATGCCAGAGTGGCAGGATGAATTGGTTGTGTAGCTATTTGAAGATGGCTCTTAAATCATCACCTTCCTCGGGGTCATGAAAAGATCCTTTGACCCAATCTGTTGCCACTGTCTGCTAGTACTCAGACAAAGTGAAATCTAAGGTTGATAAGTCGGGGGGAACCACGTGTGTCTCCACGAGGCACTGGTGGTAGCTGTGTGCTAGAAATGCAAACCTGGGCCAGCACACCTGGAGGTGATTCAGAGCCCACCAGAACATAAGGAACATAAGGAAGGCAAAGTACCATCAATTTTAGAAGTTCTTTAGTGCAGTAACATTTCATAATGACATTCTATAATGAAAACATGACTTCACTTTTAATAAGCAATGCAAGCCCAGAATATATACAAGTCAGGGGACTTGATTTCCTTGATATAAAATACAACTTAATCCCAAGTAATATATGTCCATTTTGGAAGATGAAATAATTTACTTAATCACCATTTAACAATTTTAATCAATACACATTCATAAGATTTTCTCTCATTGGGGCTAGGCATGGTGGCTCACCCCTGTAATCCCAGCTACTCAGGAGGCAGAAATTAGGACAATCGTAGTTTGAGACCAGCCTGGGCCAAAAGTTAGCGAGACCTCATCTCAACAAATAAGCCTTGAATCTATAATCCCATCTACAAGGAAGGCATAGATAAGAGGATCCTGGTCTCTGGCTGGCCCTATCTGAAAAATAACTAAAGTAAAAACGGGCTTGGTGGTTCAGTGCCTGCGTTCAAGGTCCTGAGTTCAAATCTCAGTAGTGAAAAAAAAGATGGTTTTCTCCCATTGGATTCGATCTTTTGTCCTCTCTAGTCACGTGGCTATAATGTGCGATCTCGTGTAAGTAACTCTCATAATGAACAGTACGAAGCAGGTGTGAATTAGTGCGTCATGGCTGTCTGCTCTGTGGGCTGCCCTTCCCCTACTCCTCCTGTGGAAGGATTTCTAAACCTCTGTGCTTAAAAGACACCAGGAGATCGCTTCCCCTCCTGTTTCAAAACTTCTAACCACCCCACTGAATGGAGAAAACCGCTAGCTTTCTGGAGGGGTCATAAGCCCGGTCAGGACGATCCTTTTCTTATAAAGAAATGGCAACTTCAAATGTGTTGAAGATGGTATTTCAGGAACAGCTCATGGCTTTGCTTCAAAGCAAAAGAAAAGCCACGTTTGAAGAAGCAGCCTGAAAAAAAATGTCACATAAGCTAGTAAGAATTTACCCGGAAATTCTATTGAGCGAGCCCGTCAATACAGGATACCAGGTCCTCCAGGCCACGCCTGTGTCAGAGCATAAATAAATTATCACACTAGTCCGTTCCATGTGAGACTGCAGATCACAGAAGCGCGGGTTTCTAGAAAGCGTGGCACCCTTTGATACACTTTGAAATTCAAATATAAAATATTGATAATGGAAAGGTTGGATGTGCATGCAGAAGTGACTAATTTTCACAAAAATGCAGGTTGAAAACTCATACTTGGGACTCAGTTTGTGATAATTAACAGAAAAAAAAACCCTTGCTGGTGACAGCTCTAATTAATAGTATCTGTAATTAAAATCATGTCCTTCCAGCAGGAAAACTGTTTGAATTTCTTAGAGTGACCTTTTTGCATTCCTCCTGGGGGCATGGTGGTTAAGTTGATATTGATTTTATAATGAGCTCTGGTTTGTTTAATAAGAATCTGTAATCCAGACAATAAATGAAATGTGTGCTTTTCTCCAATCCAGATTAATAAAAAGGAGAAAAGACAGAGAGGAGAAAAACCTTTTCCTTTAAAAATACAATCTAAGTAAAATGATACTAAAGATATTTGTCCTTGTTTTTGTGCTTGGTTCTAAAATCACCACTAAATACCCTTTCAGGGGGCTACCTTGATAAAATTGGGGTCTGCACCCATCAGAACCCGGGCTTCTGGGGAGGAACCCTGGTGTCCAGCTGTCCTAGGATGTAGGAGTGGGGCTTACATCATTTCCAGCTTGACAGTTAGCTGAATAATTACTGAGGACTCAAGCAGTTTAGTAACAGAGCAGTTTTGTGGGTACATGAAGCAGGTGTCAATCCGTTCGTGTCTGTACGTCTGGTTTTCCGTGGCTGCCATTGATGCACTTTGTGTGTGAAAACCATCAGGAAAGGTTTAAAAACACTGCAAACCTGAAACAGAAAATTCCTGGAAAGGTGTCTTATTGCATCAGTGTATCTACATTTAAATCATCAAACTCTGATATCTGCTAGTTCTTCGATAAGGTGAGGACAGACCTGATCCTAAATCCCGTCACCAGGTCACAGTTGGACAAGCTGATTCTGTGCTTCACACCACGGGACACAGCGCAAATGTTTAGCTCATTGTTTTAAGTTTCTGAAAAAGAGCAAGATTACGGTAATGTAGGGGTAATAGGACAACAGGTGACAATAGGCTAAGTTTTATTACCGTCAGAATATGATGTTACCTGTAAGCCAAAGAGCCTGAGAAAAGTGACACAGGGGACAGAGGCGTTCTGATGGCGTGAAGGCAGAAGCTTGGAGATGGTGTTCTGGGGGTGGCATTGGTGGCCTCTGGTGGGACTTCCTCCCTGGAGTCCAAAAGGAGACTCTGCATGTCCCCAGTCGGACAGGGCCAGTGTTGGTGCTGCTGGAAGACACAGCAGGAGCCATGGGCCCTCCTGAGGCTCGGCCACTGATGGAGCATTGGCCCTTCCATGGCACCCCATCGACAGGCTGTGCAGCACCCCGTTCACATACCCACTGTAGGGTGGGCTGAGGCTGCCGTGGTGCGAGTGTACCCTATGCCAGTGGCTGTTCTCGAAATGGCTTCAAACCAGTCCGTAGTTTGAATTACTCCACTCCGTTGAAAAGTCTCTAAACGCTTTTACTTTTTCTTCCTGTAGATGGGCTGACTGCTTCATGCACAGAGCCGGGACTGGAGAGCTTTCTTGCTTTATGAAGGGTGGGGAGTGTAATATTTTTGTTTGCTATTAAAAATAAAATCTTTTTGCTAGCTCTTGCCTGGGATACTTCCCCAAGATATCAGTCCCATTATGTAATCCAGCAAAGTTTAAAAAGTTTTAAACTTTAAAAATTTGAGTCTATTAACTCTCAGAATAGCTGACATAGCTATCTATCTATTTACATTTTTATTAACATTTATTAGTTCTACAGGGGAATTCATTGTGACATTTACAAAAGTGCTTGCCGTATATCTTAATTAGGCTCACCCCTCCACCATTCTCTTTCATCACCCCCTCCTTAGAACAATTTCAACAGGTTTCATTGTTCTGTTTTCATACAAGTCTATAAGGTTCATTGACTGCCCTCTCCACTTCCCTCCTCCCCCAGTGGTACCCACCCCCAGACAGGACCTTTTACCTCCTATCCTCCATTGTTTACCTGTGCATTGCTTGTTCAAGGGGGCTTCACTGTGATATTTTACACATGCATAAACTGAACTTTAATCCATTCTTTAACACATTCTGTTACTCCATCACCCGGCTCCCCTACTGTTCAGCAGCTTCCAGTGCTCTTCAGTACACCATCTTCCTACACAGATGATTCCAGTATCATTTACCCTCCATCATTCTGTCTTCTCTCCTGCCTCCCCAGGTCCCCCAGACACACCCGTTATTGCAGTCATGTTTCATCTATCTATCTATCTATCTATCTATCTGTATGTATGTATGTATGTATAAGATCACGTATATATTTATGTGTACATGCAACATTGGTTCCTCTGGACATGGCTTGCTTCGCTTAACATGATCTCTAGTTCCATTCATTTACCTGCAGACAATATAATTTCATTCTTCTTTATGGCTGGCTAATACTTCATTGTGTTGATATACCACATTTTCTTAATCCATTCATCACTAGTAGGGTACCTGGGCTGTTTCCAAAGCTGTAATTTTGAGTATTGTACAATCAGCATGGCTGTGCAAGTGGTTCTATCATATCCTGACTTTGGGCGTATGCCCAGGGGTTGTAGTTCTGGATCGTATGGTAGGTCTGGTTTTAGTTCTGAGGGACCTCCATATTGCCTTTCACAGTGGTGCACTAACTTACATTCTCATCAACAGGGTAGAAGTGAGCACTTGTTGTGAGGGGAGGGTTTGTGTGTTGTTGGTGATTGCCATTTCAGTGTCGTTTTGATTTGCATTTCCCTTATGGCCAAGGGCGCACACGTGTCTTCATGTGTTTCTGACCATTTGCTCTTTTTTGAGAAATGCCCATTCTGATCATTTGCCCATTCATTCGATGGGTCGTTCATTTTTTGCAGGTTTCTTTTTATTATTATTTTAGCAGTTCTGGAGTTTGAACTCAGGGCCTTGTGCTTACTTGGCAAGTGCTCTGTCACTTGAGCCGCACCCCAGCCCCAGGGTTAGTTTTCTGAGCTCCCTGTATATTCTGGTTAAAACTTCGTCAGATGCATAGCTGGCAAAGATTCTCTCCCATTCTTCGGTCTGATGACTGTTCCCTTTGTGGGCCGAAGCTTTTTACTTTGATGCGGTCCCATTTGTCAGCCCTTTCTCTTACTTGCTGAGCTATGGGAGCTCTAGACACGAAGTGGTCACCTCCACCTGTGTGTCCATGTGCTGACACTCGTTTTCTTCCCGTTTTAAAATTGGATCCTTTCTCCAAACTCTCCCCCTGTGTTTTA